GTAAAAAAATATTCCAGTGTTTCTGAACCCTAGTCTTATATTGACTGTTGTTTTTCTGAGGAGCATCCTTTCCCCTCAAAATGCAGTCCAAAACAGCAAGAGACCACGCAGCAGAGCATTACATACAGGGGCACTTGATGAAACTACCAGCCAGTGGTTTTTGAAAGACAAATTGTGTATTTCACTTTGATTGAGAACATCCTAGGGATGTTGGAATGGAAGGATTTCTTATATTGATGGCATGGGCTGGGAGCTCACTCACCCAGTCCTGTTCTGTGGCCTTAGATGGCAACTCCTAGCACCACCTTGGGCAGATTAATTATCTCCTGGTTACATTCAGGAAAATCAGGTGAATGGCTTTCCAAAGATTTTTTTTCAGAATCCTCAGTGATGTGAAATGATTAAATTAGGATTAACAATATTTCTAAAAAGACACACTTCTTCAGTCACAGGTTGGTTGGTCCCATACAGGAATTACCAGGTTAAATTGTACAATGTAAGCAGAAGTTCAGTATAGATCATACAATGGTTTGGGTTGGAAGGGACCTTAAAGCTCATCTAGTTCCAACCCTACTATGACCAGGGACACCTTCCACTAGACCAGGGTGCTCCAAGCCCTGTCCAGCCTGGCCTTGAACACTGCCAGGGATGGGGCAGCCGCAGCTTCTCCGGGCAACCTGTGCCAGTGCCTCATCACCCTCATAGTGAAGAGTTTCTTCCTAATGTCTAATCTAAATCTCCTGCATTCTATGGTATGGGATTTATTGTGCTGTCTTCTTTTTTTTCCTTCTTTCCTTCTTTTTCTCATTTGCTTTGAAGCCTCAAACGTTAAGTGACTTATGGCTCAATCCAGCAAGACAAATCCTACTATGGGACAAACCCTAAAATAAGATACTTGAGGAGAGATCTTTGTCAACAACACAGAGAGTAGCTGACCTCATCAAAAGAAACTTTTTTCCATGTGAGCTTTTAGGTTCAACCATCTATCAAAAGTAGATCACCCAATGCTGACTTAAGGCAGTGGTAAAGCTTCCATTCGACTTGAGTGACTGAACCCATCAGCACTGCTCTTATTCATTTAGGAATTTGCTGTATGCCTGTAGTTTATTACTGTGTCATCTCCAGAAGAAGCATTGTTGAAGAATGACATAGTCCTTCCTTTATAATTTATTGTCCCAATAAAATTAATCACCAAGTTTCCAGCTTGTAGAAAACTCCACAGAGGAAATCAAATTCTAAAGATGACCCGTTCTTATCAGTGGCAAATGCAGTAAAAAGTGAATCATTCATTGCACAGGCCTTGATGCAAAATATAAATGAACTTGGAGTGGCAATCAAAATTTAAAAGTTCATATTTCACAGAAGACATCAGGATGTGGAGCTGGAAGAGGTGGTACTGGTTTGGAGGTGGGACCACACTTTCGAGTTTTGGGTTTTCTTGGTTGTAATGTAGTTTGCAGTTGTTCTAGAATGCAAAGAGCAGTCTACTCAGGGCAACTGTGATCTCAATAAGAGAGATGCAAAACTGCATGCCAATGGCTGCAGTCATGTGAGTGACAACACAGAAAACCCAATCCAGCATTTGCTTTGAGTTTAGCACCTCTGAATAAGCCACCTCCCAAAGAAACATGATACCAAGCCATGATCTTGCATGGAAGGGGGAATAACTCACAAAACATATGAGGCCATGCAATTCCTCTGCAACTTAAGGCACTACTCCACCACTACAACTATTGCAAGGAAAGTTCTTAGGCTCGTGAGCAGAGCCATGAGTGAATGCTAGGGTGGTTTGTCCTAAGCCCTCCATCCATGAAGCTCTGTTTACAGGGGTAGGTTTGCCAGGACCTAGGAGGACTGTACTCCCCTTCTGCTGTTAGTGCTACTTGGCACAGCATGCACACTGTGTGACTCAATGGGGAAGTGGCTACACCACTGAGCAGCTTCTCCCTTTGCTCCATGATGCAATGGCGTGCTTTATAAACACTGATGTGCAGAGCCCCGTAACTCATTGTGATATGGATTTTACTACTCCATGAAAACTCAACAGCCTTCATTTTTTTTTCCAATTGATGTCAAAGAGTTTTGAAGAAAAAAAAAAAAAAGTCAATGCCAGAAATTTGGAATCCCACTACCCATTAGATTTAAATCCACACCAGTGCTGTAAGAAAAAGCCCAAGGCTATTCAGCTGAGTGAATAAGGAATATAATTTTCAGGACTCTTTAGAGGATATGCAGAAATCAATAGCACCATCCTAACTTTGCCATGGTTAGATCACTTAAACTCTTCATCCTCCCTTATTCCTGCCCTTAAAGTGAAGAATGGCTGCTCTTATTACAGAAATACTGGAAGTTTTAATGAGTTAATGTTTTTCCAACACTGGAATTATGTAAAGTACTCTGAAAATGCTGAATGTTAACACCAGTGCTGGAGCAGTAGTGGATGGCAAGAGTGCCAGCAATCATAGTTAAGAAGGAGATAAGAAAAAGCTGTTTCATCAGAGATGGAACCAAAATTGAAATGAGTTCAATCTTTACAAGCCAGTTGTGGTATCACAATTGCATGTTCCAGCGCTTGCTTAAAACCCCAGACATTGTGGAGTCACAGAAACTATTTGCTGCTTTTCACAATTAAGAGAGCACCTCCTTCATCTCCACAAACACACCTCACTGTTGCTCCTACTGGCTCTTCACATACAACTTGCCTTCATGTATTCTAAAGTCTCTGGGCCAGAGAGGAAGAATTAGTTCAAATGTCTTATGGAGGAGAGATTTACAGACTTGGTTGCTAAATGCTGTGCTTCAGCCTAGGCTGGTTTTCCATGGCAGATTAACAGATGAAAGCTACCAAAACTTATTATAAAGTACAGGATAAGAAATTCAGCTAGTACAAAAGTAATTTCAGTGGGCCTAGGATAACGTCTATGTTGAGGTTCTGGCCATAAACTAAGAGGAAGCTTGCCAACAGAGCTTTTCCTCAGTAACTGCTATCTTACAGAAACTAGGGCCATCCCAAGTAATTCCTTCCATTAAACCCCTCTTCCAGCTTAGAAGTTCCTTCCTTTAACAGTAGCACTGGGAAAATGTGCCCAACAGCATCAGACCCATCTGTAACAGTAATTTAACTGCCCAGATCCAATATTAGTATTTCAATTTCTGCACTGTGCTTATCAAAGAAGAGACACAGCTACAATCCATAAAGAAACACATTTTTCAAACCCATCTGAGCTGACATGTTTACTGAAGAACATTATCTGACTCACTGAAATCAAGATCCAATTCAGCAATAAAAAACATAGGGAAAATAGGCTTTGTGTCTTGCCCAGGATGTCAGTGGGCTTCACTCAATGATGAAACACACAGATGTGCCTAAACTCATGGCACAGCAGATACCAGCAGTTAGTCTTGTCCTTGTAGATATCTTAAGTGTGTTCTTAATTTTGCTCATTTCATTGATTACAGTAAGATCAGACTATTTACATCAGTAAACATACATATTTAGTCAAATAAGCTTTTATGCTAAGATTATGCCCTGTAGTGAAGTTTGCAAAGCAGCACTGCTACCAGAATATGCAGCTCTGTGCCATCAGCTGCTATGTATCTATTCAACCATTTTAGCAGATGATATTTGCTCCTGGTGCTGATACATGCACTCTGGTTTAAATTAAGGCCGTGCTTCATTAATACCCCTATGGCTGAAATCCCTTATGTGTTTGCAGTGATTTAAGAAATATAAGCATTAGAGAAAGATGGAGTTCATATGTTTGGGGTCTTTCCTTCCCTACATGCACATCTGACTCCCCTTTTGCCCACTGCACCTTGAAATACACCATTTGCCCAACCCAAGTCCACTTTTATTTTTGCACACCCCAGGCCTGGCCTTGCCTCCCCTCCTGCCTACCACCTCCTCCACCCAGCTCTCTATCTTCATCCCCAATACATGTGTGCACACAGATGTTACCTTTCTTCTTGGTACCCCAGTTGTAACACACAGGCCCTCAGGAGTGTTAAGTGGTGGCAACTGTCGTGGAAAAGTGCCTTAGACACAGACAGAAATTGATGCTAGTGCTCCTCTGCCACCAGAATATGGCCCCTGTTTATGGTTTGGGTCATGGTCACTAAAGAGCCCAGCAGAATAATATTTTCCTGTTACTCACTTCGTTGAATTTCATTACCATTATAGCTTTCATAGAAAAATATAATGCTAAATATAGATGAGAAAAATATATAGTACATACAGAAAGCATCCTGTAGGAACCTATCAGCATCATTTCCAGGTACAATATTTTTCTGATTATAATACAACCCCTCTATATCCCCATATGTTCAGGGTGACATGGTATAAGCCCAACATAGCATCAAGGAACTTATCTGCTCCCATCTTGTCTGCCACCAGCCACGTGAGAGTCATTTATTTAAAAGCAACTTTGAAATATAAGTATTTTGACCTCAAGTACTTTGAACCTTCTCCAGGCAGGAGGATCAGGTGAGTATAGCTCCATTGCCACCATAACATGAGGAATAATGTTATTTGATCTCAGTCTTTTTATCTTTTCTAATGCTTTTGTCTCTATTGCCTATGCCTCCTTTATCTGGTGTCCAGTATGCTCAATAAGAGAACCTGGGTGCATTGTCTCAAAGAAATAGCAATTTATTATTAAACCTTTCCCTATAACAGCCTTCCAGGTGTTGAGACAATCTGTAAGCTAAGCATTGATGTTTATCTCTGTAACACGGTACTACTGCATGAAACATGGCAGCTAGACTGCTGCACAAGCCTTTCTATGGCTTTAGTTTTGGGTTGGTTTGGTTTTTTTTTTGAAATTGCCTTACAGTGGAAAAGTGCCTTTTCTGCAGAAAAAAAAAACCAGAATTGGTCTATGCTTAAATCCCTCCTTTGTGCCCACTTCTGGGCAGGAACATATCACCACACAAAACTTGATGCTGATTTTAGTACTGTACTTAACCACCTTTGTAATCACTCAGCAGCTGGAAACTGAGCTAGGTTTAGATCTGCCACTTGCCATTTGCAAGCCACTTGATTTCTTGGGGCTTACATATACCTGCATGTCATCTGGCTACTTATACAAAGGTTGTCCCTGGAAGAGGAATGGGGTGGGCACAGGCTGAGGATATGCTGCTGACAAAAACTCCCCAACATGCTGGAGTAAGATTTTGTGCCCTCCAGATGTCAGATGGACCTTTGGTGATTACATCTCCTGCGAGTCACAGACCAGAACAGCGAACAGCCTGAGAAGATGGCTAAACCTCAACTGCACTACATCGGTTTGATGGACCCTGGTGATACAGCACCAGAGTTGCCTTTCATTCCTAGCAGGAACAACAAAAGCCCAAGTATCCTTTTGAGCCCTGTTGTGCCACCATTTGAAGTTAAACAGACACAAAATTAGTGTATTAAGACCAAACAAGACTTTTACAAGGCTGTGGAGAGAAAACTATGGAGAAGTGCCAAAGCCAGCAGATTTACAGAAAGGTGCTGCCCTGAAAATAGCTTCATGGGTAGGAAACATTCATTAGTACATTCGGCCTTTATCACTATTATTACTGTTATTTTTTCTCTGGTCTGTAGTGACACACAAAAAGCCCTCCTGGGGGCTGTAAGCTATTGTCCCAGTCACAATACAAACAACATAATAAAAGCAAGTAACTCAACAGACGCTGGAAGAGTCCAGGTTCCTTAGGGGTTCTCTTTCTTGTGCTCATTCATGGGTACAATCTGAGGTGCTTTTTTTGACAATTAACTAGTGTATCTCCCTCATGAATTGTTTGGTATCTACTAAGATATAAGTTCATCTGCTGCCTTTCTTTCTGCCATGTGACTTCAGGGCTTCTCTCTGCTCCAGCTAGCTGCCTACTTGCACAAAACTTCAGTAATCCAATTAGCTTTGAGCCCACTCTCCATCAGCCAAATTAAATCAACTGGTATATTCAACAGTTATCTGAGGATGTACAGAGCATGATCACCCAATTTCCTGAGGAAACCAGACTAGCAATTCCTACTTCTAAGAGCTAATCACTTGGAATGGATGCACAAAATAAATGGGAGAACTGGAAGTGAAGAAGATGGCAGGGAGGATGAAGTTCAGTAATAAGACAAGTATATATTGTGCAAGAAAACCATCATTAGTCACAGTCCAGTGCTGACACAAGGCACCAGCTTTGCAACCTGATGAGGCATTTAAAGGAAGGAAAGGCAGTCAGGAGAGAGGTGGCAAGGTGGGATTTTGTCCCAGGTTTTCTCATATGTGTAAGGCATCATAGGGGGAAACTCCACTTGAGGGAAAACTAAGTACTAGGAAGTGACTGAGCAAAAGTGGTTATGTTGAAAAAGCAGGGACCAGCTTCTGAACACGTTTCTAGCATGGTCTGTGTGATCGGAGACAGCTAGGCTCTCACCTTCATGGGTGGGTATTGGAGGTTTGGATGGAAAGAAAACCTGAATTTAAAGAAATGTGCTACTTCTGTGGCAGGTTTCTGGCTGATGTGGGTCTGGTGAGAAGCAGCAGAAGACAGGCTTACTGGTGGGATATGTAGGCCACAATGACAGAACAGACAGGAAACGAGAGAATACAATGTGCTGTGGAGACAGGAGTACTCACCATTCTGACTGTCTCATACACTTGGACAAGGCAATGTCAAGTTTTGCGTTTGGTCATTTGGAGAAGAGTCTAGAATAGATAAATGTGAGAATTACGAGCTGAAGCTATGAAAAATCAGACACATGCTCTGCCTCTAGAAAACCTTCTGCTCTTCCTCCTTTACCTGCCTCAAGAGCAGGAGACGGCAGACTTATCAGCTCTTCCCAGTTTCCAGCTCTCTGCTTGTGGAGCTACCTTGCTCCAGGAGATTTTTTCCCTGCTAAGCCTGATGGTTTAAGGCCCATGAAGGCTTTAAAGCTACTTACAGATTGCAAAGTGACCTTTTTTAGACTTCAGACTGAGACTGACTCGTGAACTGAGAGACCCTGAATGCAGAGAGCAAATTCTCTTCCATATTTCTCAACTGTCACATATTCATTAGTTATAAACAATAAATGTCACGTGGCTTGCAAAATCTATATCTAACCTATTTAAGAATACTCAATGCTTGTGGTACAGTTTATATCTTAAACTATTTTTGGTCTCAACCAGTGTTTACTTGTTCCTTGACTGCAGGGATGCTACCTATGGGAGGGAGGGGGAAAGGTAAATACTGTATGTTGTACACTTAAACATGGAGACAAGAGAGGGGGTAAGCCAAAGGCAGGTCTTGGATGTGAACCCAGGAGGAATGAGGATGGACTCATGCATGCAGCAGCAATTGTGGCTGCAGTGCTTTGCAGAAAGCCTATGCTTGCTGGCTGCTTGTTGCCACGTTCTAGGCAGGAGTATTCCCTGCAAGCTCCATCCTTACTCTCTGTCCCACAGCTCTGCTCCCAGTACCCAGGAAGGGCAGGACAGGAGGCAGAGTAGGCGAACATAACAGGGCTCCCCTCTCCTCACCAGTTCACTAAACCCACATTTCCTATGCATCTGCTAGCGCAGATCAGGCTGAAAAATAGCCTCCATAATGGCCGAGTTTGTTTGCTTTCTCTGAGGATGTTTATTTAGTAGCTTTTCACTAATGAGTCAGGCTTTCTCTATGATCCACAAGACATCAATATTGCATGTGCTCAGGGACCTGAAGCACGTATCCTAAGCACTGTTTATTGCAGACAGCAAGTGTTTTGTTAACAACAACAACCAAACAGGCAGGGGAGCAGCCTGAACTTCTAAAGTCAAAGCAAGATCAAAGCCTGCAAAGGTTAATTGGCAGAATGCCACAGGAGCCATTCTGCAGTGGGAATGGACGATTTACAAGCGTACCAGTAAAAGAGTGCTTTAATCACTAGATTAAGATAAGTCCTTGCAAATGTTAATACAGTAAACCACTTTTTTCCTACTTTAGCATAAAAAAAAAATATATTTCCCTTCTTAAATATAGAAACACATAATCAGATTCCTATAAAATATTTCCCCTCCCCCCCAGGAAAAGCATTCATATTAGAAATAACACCACAGACATGTCTGAGAAATAGGTGCAGAAGGACAGAAGGGAAAAATTCATCCCTTCCCTCCCCCTGCCCTGTTTTGTGCTGCCCGTAACTATTTGCCTGGAGCCACTTGCCCCATCTGCCTGTGCTGTCCTCTGGGTAGTTCCTCCTCTTCCCGTGAGGAAACAGGCATTGCCCCATGCTGACCCAGGGCTTGGGGACCCTGAGGTTATTCTCTAAGCACAGAAATCCCCTGATGCAATCCCTGGTAGCCCTGTGTACCTCTCTTTCTCAGTGATAACCCCTATGCCAAAATCAAGGGGGTGGCATTGAGGAGCCCCCCCCAAAGTGTGTCCCCAGTGCTGAGGACATGTCACCCAGAGTGTCCCTTTGCAGCCAAGGGAAACTGCTGTAGGAGCAAGGCAGCAAGCCTGGCTCACAGCCTGCTGAAAATGGTATGTTAAATGTCCTATTGCTATTGCTTGAATGGTATTTATAGACACCATCAATCACAGAGGTCCTAAATGCATTAAACAGGTTCATTTAAAGACTAGTGTTCTTCCATACTCCTAAAAAAAGCTCAGAAAAAAATGATATCAGTATAGCCCTCACCTAAATCTCATGGATTCAAATAGCCTCTGATGCTCAGCAGGGCTTGGCTTATGCTCAGGCTCAGCCCCTTCCTCTGGTGCCCATCACAGGGATGGACAAGCAATAGGAAACAAGCCCAGGTTGACCTGTTGTTTTACAGTGAGCAGGCCTCACAGTATCCTTACCTTCATAAAATCAAGATTCAGTGGAACAACATTAGTACAGAACTAATGCAGAACAAGCTGGAATCAGCCTCAAAAACTTCAGGAATGGTTTAAAAAAAAAAAATAACTAAATCAGAACAAAGCACAAAGACACAGACCCATCTCCAAGCCACAGTGAACATCTGACCTCTTGCACTGCTTTTAAGCTCTACCCTCCATGTGTCTCTGACCATAATTGGGCACAGCTGAGCTCCCTCTGCTTGCCTCCAGCCAGGAGGAAGTCTGAAGCACCAAACACAAAACGTATGTGAACTACAGACCCTGCTAAATGAGCCGTGAGCAGCGCTCTTCATTCCTGATGTGATGGCACTTTAGGCAGTGTGAGAGTGCTTGCAGGGGTGCAAGTTTCTTGGGCAAACCACTGGCTTTTTGGTCATCTGAACATAATTTATGCAGCTGTAGCAGATGTCCCATAGCCTAGGACACAGGGACAGCAGCAGGCAGCACTGCTGTGCTAGCAGTGTGATAGGAACAGTACCTCAGCAGCCAGTGGATATATATATTGTTAACCTGATTTTGACTCTTCAGTCTAAATGAGTTATTTAACCTCTTGAGTTTGGGCTTCCCTGGGTACTCATGTTTTTATTTGCATTTACGAATTCATCGCTGATGGCTGCAGAAGTAAAGCAGCACTTACAAGCCATTCTCAAGAGAAGCAGCATTTTACATTCCGAGTTTTGCTAGAGCAATGGTACTAGAAGCTGAAATGAGACATGTTAGTGGGACTTGTTGCAGGAATGTTGCCTGCATAACTAACCTACAAGGGCAGAGAAATATTGAGCACCATGTAGGCCACTGATTTGCTTATGCAAATCCTCCACTGCATACTTAAGCAATATTTATACCTATTGTAGAACAGTGTAAGCTGTGATGCAGTTTGCTTTTTCTTCATTACTGTAACTTGATTCTATCTATTTGCCCCCCCCCCCCCCCCCTTTTTTTTTGTTCTGGTTTGGGTTTTTTCACTGCTCTGCAGAAAGTCAAACCACAGGCAACTTTCCTCTACAAACAAATCCAATCAGTTAAGATTGTGGACAGATTAAGATGTTCAGACTCCACAGAGATGCCTGGATGGAAATCCTTTAGGTTAGCTAGTTCTTATTCAAAGATACACAAACAAGAATGGAGGAGAGCAGCACATTTCACCTGGGGACCGGTGGGTGGAGACCACCACATAATTAGAGGTTTCTCCTTTATTATTACCCTTGGAAAGGCAGGGCCAGATAAGCCAGGATACGACCCATTACCGGCAAGGACAGGTATGTAGGTCAATGTGTCATATGGAAAGTCTCAGAGCAGAACTTGAGCAGCAACCTGCATGCTGTGGCCCAGATCAAAGAAGAAACTGGGGACACCTTCAAAAGGAGCTCTGGCCACAGATCAGGGAACAGCAAGAGGCCTGCAGTGCAAAGGAAAGCACCATGCCCAGCTTTCTCCTCCCTCCGGATGGACAGATGGCCGTCTCGGCTGCTCTCGGGGGATAGCTGATGAAAAAACCTTTGAGGATGAATTCCTGGCATTTTGCAGGGCTAAAAATAGGGAGGACAAACAGGTGCCGGGGGTATGCATACAGCTGCACGTACAGCGTGAGTGACTTCTGCTTGCTCCCATTCTTCCACGTTCTCTTTCATCCAGAAAAACAGAGTCAAGAAAGGAGAAGGGAACAAAGATTTCTCTCCTAAAGCATAAAACACAAATGAGGCAGACAGCAGGGTGGACGCAGAGGTTTCAGACATTCATTTCTGGGAACGGGTTAGGAGAGATCTGAATCCAGCTTCAGCTGGGTGAGTCATCAGCTAGTCTGCAGCTCCGCTTGAATAGCTGCTATAGCTCTTGGAAATAAAAGTTGCCAGCACATAAATGCCAATAAAATGGGCACGGTAGGCTTAGAATGATTGCATGAGATCATCCTGGAGGATCAGCTACCCAGCAGGAGCCAGTGAGGGTCAGAAATGCTGACAGTTGCTCCTCCACTGCTTTCTAGTGATGACTGTTTAGATCCACATGACTCCAGAAGGCACCACAGTTGTCACCGGCCAGGCAGTCCCCTTGATTATATGGTGTCACAGAGCAGTAATAGATGACTATTTCCCCAGACCATGAGGTGGGTATTTCAGGACACAGTATTTTAAATAACTGTTTATACAGTAACAGCTTGCTGCAATGGAGTCATCAAGTGTTTCTGAGGCTACTTAGTGCTGCAGGAAAAGCAATCAAGAAACCACCTAAGCTCCCCAAGCTGCAGATCCCATGGAAGTAGCAAGGGCTCAGTGCAGCAGTAGGAGCAGTAGGAACCCACTTTCCTGCAACCTTTGATCTGAAGAGCTTGAATATTGGGGGAGAGCCATAACACTGCAAATGTCTTAATTGCATCAGCTCTTCTGCCATCACCAGAGTGATATTATTGTACCCAGTACTGCTGTTACCAGCTCTGAGCCAAGTAGCTCCGGTTTACCAGTGGTACTTGCCACCAATAGGACTAACTAGAAGACAAGACCTCTCCTCTGTGAATGCTGAGTTTGAAATGTTTTTTCACGCTGAAATGAAATCTGAATATTGCAAAACCCTGAAAAAGTTGAGGATTGATTGTAGTGCAGAAGGATCTTTTTAACCTGCCTGTGGAGTTTTTATGTTGTGATGAAAACAAACATTTCACGTGGAAAAAGGACATTTTTTTATTGTAAAAGGTCCCCAATAGTGAAAACAGAACATTTCACCACTGTCCAAAATTTGCAAATCATGAATTTCTGTGGAACTGTGGGGTTTTTTACTGGCCTGCATTGGCTGTAATTGGTTATTGGTTTTCTGTCCAATTCTAATCAGTATAGCAATATCCAACAAGAGTGTGTTGAAAAAATATATCACATTCTATCAGCAAAACCTATTTATAATGTATTTATGATGACAAAAGAATGAGGTCACTGAATGTGGTTCCTTTCACCCTAGGAGCTAACAAAGGAGAGCAGAAGGCAGATGGTGAGTACCAGTTGAGCCTATGCTAGAAAAACTGCAGGAAGAGCTCTGCCATCAGATCTCTTCTTGCGAGCAGTGGACAATATAAAAATCTTAGATTAGGAGCAGAGTGGTCATTTTGAACAACTTTGGATTTTAAAATGGCTGGCAAGAGGCAGACCAGGAAAACAAACCCAGGGTTTCCCGTATTAGCAAGTCAAATTGTGCACGGACGTCAGGAGCGCTGTGATGGTTGCATCATGAATTTGTTTTATACAGCCCTTGCTCCTGCAACTCTGTAATTGCATTGAAATTGCTGCTCTCGTTTAAAAGGAGAAAATATTTCCAGCCTTGAAAGTTTAAAAGCCATGAACCGAGCACTAGCACTGAAAAAAAGGTAAATAGAAAAAGCACATCAAACTAATTATTAAACACACTCCGAACGCTCAGGTGTTCCAGCAGACAGCTCACGATGTGTGATGGCCTGAGTCGAGCCGGTAGCTGCAGGCTGCTCGACTATAGAAAATTGAGTTTTCTTGAGAGAGAGGTAACGAGGAGGGAGTATCTGCTCTTAAAAGATAAGAAAGTAAAATATGGCTGCTGAGTGCATGGTAGGAAGGAATAGGTGTATTTTTCATGTGTTTTTTTGTGTGTGAGAGATGGACCTGGGAGAAAAAGTATATCCTAGCTTAATCTTTAATGATGATCTTTACGCTTGCTCCCTATCTCTTTGTGTTTCAAACATACCACTACAGAAGTTTTCAAAGACCTGGGAAATGCATATATGGGATATATATATACACATGTATGTGTTTATATATATATGTATATATATATATATGGATGTGTGTGTTTTAAATGCCTGCAAGTCTTTAGCCACCTAAGGCCTCAAAGAAGCAACAGCCACAACGTGCAGGAGTTACAGAGTAAGAATGTAGCTGCCACAAATCCATCTCTAATCCTCCTTTTTAATTACACAGGCGAGTGGGGCCTTAACGCTGAGACAGCTCCGTGCTGCAGTCTGCTCCAGCAAGCATGAAGGAAGAAGCAGCACCAGATGACGCAGGACTGTGCAGTACAGAGAGTGAAGCGAAGGCTATAATTAGGAAACTACTTTATTGTGAAGCCGGCAGTCTAATGAAAGCAGCTGATGGGACCAGCTGACTGCATCTATATTGACAGCAGCCTGCTAGCATCATTACTATCTGTCCTCTTTCCCCCCCTCCTCTCCAGCACGTCTCAATGTATAGAGTGAGGTAATCTCCCCACACCATGAAGCCCCAAATCTTGAGTTAAATTGTTCCACTGAGATCTGCCCCAACTCATGAGTTACGATGGCTACTGTGCCGGGGAGGGGAATTTCACCTCTGGGCACATCCTGGCACATGGCGATGAGCCAGGAAAGGATGGCTGCATCCTACTCTTGCTTCACACATGCTCCCTCATGTGTGAAGGGCGTAAAGGAAAATACAACTAGGCAGTAGTAGATGCAGGGGAGTAGCCTAGGCTAAACCCCAGCAGAAAGTTAGATGAAAGCAAATGCAAGGCACTTACACAGAGCTCCTCTTCACGGAGCTCAAAATGCTCTTACGCAGTGTAGTGAATTCATCACCCCCAGCTCTTGTGAGAAGGGGTCAAGATCCAGTTCTGTGTTGTCCAGCCAGGAAGACTGAGGTGGAGGAAGAGAGCAATGAGGCCTGACACATGAACAGAAAATGAGACTGCTAATTTTCAGTGCTTATTTCTGAAGAATTTAACTCACACGCCTCAAAAGAGACCCTTAGGTCCCTAATTCATCTGTCTCTCATGCCAATATTGTTTTTCCTCCCCAGAGCATTTTACGCAGGAGAAGCTAGTAACTTCTCTGTGTATGCTGACTGGACAAGCCCCTTGCTTTTCAGCTTAGCTGTTAATGCAAGTAGAGATACATAAAGGAAGAAGCTTGCCCTTTTGCTGCCCTTGACGCACCTAGTCTGAGCCTACAGGTTTTCGGATCTCCAGGGCTCTCCGTCTAGCAGCTTGTGAAAGCATTCCAAATTTACTACTCTCTTAACCAGCAAAGAAAATAAATCTTCCTTGCCATAAATGCTAATGTTGGTGCACTGAGAAATTCAAAGGGAG